GGAAGATGATAGATGCTATTTGCATCACATTCAATTCAACACATCACAAAGTTTAACTACATTACTGAGGTCCATGTATATAAGTCACAAGCACAACTGAGAATCAGCATTAGCGCATGCTAGTATCTTTATGGACAACATAATATGGAGAGCACCGCAGGGGACCAAGGGATGCTAATGGAATTAAAAAACAATTAATCCGTTATCTCTTCATTTTTTGATGTTCAATGCCTATGGATAGAAAATTGAGATAGTTGCATGTTTGGTAGCTTAGTTTGGAGATTTTTCTAATGTTTATTCATTATTTTAGTACAGGTTCAGCATTAGGCTCAAAGGCTAGTTACAATTAATTTAAAGAATTCTTTTCATACATAGCTGGAGATTCTCCTATCATTGGCTATTAAGGCTGACTAAATTCAGATTCTACAACTTGATCCATCCTACATGATTGGAGATTAGCAGCAGGACAAAAAAAGATATATTTGAATAAAATAATGGCATAGTGCAGGAAATTACCCATAAAAAAAATTGTTGGAATTGGAACTGAATTCTCAAGCTTTTCTTTTGTTACTCAAAAAGGGGGGCATCCACCTCAAGTTCCCTGTCCTCTGGCACGCACGAGTGCTCCTACTAACGGAATCAGGTAATGGCTGATGTAGCAGTGCCACTTCAGCATTTGGGTTCTCATTTGGGCCAGTGATATTATTGCCTGCAACAGTGCCCTTCTCCAACTTTAATTCCATTTGTTGACCTTCCTCTTGTAATTTGGACGCATATATTGGCCAAATTCCGCACGCCTTTATCAAGTGATTATATTTTTTTCGCCCAGAACGGAAGAGAATTTCAATGAAGAATTCACATGCAAACTTACAAGTGGTGCCCTTATCAAATCGCCTTCTTTGTGTTCCCTTGACTATGCTTTCCATTGGATCATACCATACAAAAACATGATCTGTACTCAATTTCATGAGGCGAGGGAATTCTTTTTCATCCTTGCAATTGATCTCTTCATCTTCAAAGTGAAATTTTCTGCAAATTGATGCTACGACATGGCTTAAGTCTAATGGAGAAAGAATACAACAACAAACAAAACCCAATAAACGGTCAGAAGAAACTGGTGCAAGCTCAATAGTAGCAATGGATCTCTCCATAGTCTGAGAATATTTTAAGCCCGTTGGAATTGTGCTTCCTGGGTAACAGACTTTAAGCTCACAAGAGTAGTTGTTGCATATTGCTTGCATCAGTGATAAATCAATGGTTTCCAATGATGTGCATTCATTGACATAAAATTGAGTAATGGAAGGTGGAAGTTCTGGAAGGATCTAAGCCACTTGCATTCTCCCAGATCAATTTCTCTCAGCTTTGAAAGATGCTTGATGCTATTAGGCAAAGTACTCACGCTGCATCGTCGTAGTGACAGAATTTTCAATAATGACAGGCCATTGATATTGTCAGGGATTTCACCAACATCACAGTGTCTCAAATGCAGTTCTTCTAAAGAATGCCAGGCATCAAACAGAATGAGTAATTTTGATTTGTCAATTCCTTCTGTAAAATTAGAAAGAAAGAATATTTTCAGAGATGTCAAGCTTCTTAGCTCATTTGTTTGAAAGCTATTGAGACGCCAACCGATATGTAGCTCTTCGAGTTTATTGAACCATCCTACTTGCAAGTTCAATGTTTTGATACTAGTATTATTCAAATGTAAAATTCTCATTTCTTCTGATGCAACCAAAAATTCCTTGAGAGCAATACAGCCAGTCAGCGTGAGATGCTTGAGAGATTTCAAAGGGGTGTCCCCATGAAGATTCTTTAGTTTGCAGCAGCCCGCTAGATTCAAAGAAACAAGTTTAGGAAGAGATAAGAGAGATGGATGAATGCTACGTAACTTTTTGCAATATCGGAGGTCCACTATTTCAAGATTTTGTGCAATGGAGAAATCAGGTAACTCCTTTTACTTTGAGGAAAAGCTGAGATTTATTGTCTTTAAATTCATAAGATCCTGTGACAATTGAAAGAGGAAAGTTGCTGAAAAAAGCCCCAATAATTCAATTAGACTAAAGAATGAAACATGCTTTAATATATAGTTACCTGCACACCATCCCATAGTTTTGCCACATTGCTGCAAACCATATGGATTTCAGCAAGATTTTCTGCACAAAAACCCAATGGTGGAGACTCCAAAAGATATTCTTCCCAACAAACATATCTTAGCTCATCAGAAAATGACTCTAGACCAAAAGGAAATTGCACGGTATAACCTCCTTTTAACTTCGAACTAATCCTGAGAAATCTTAAATTGCTCATCTTTTTGAAAGCGTCAGCACTCAAGTACAAGTGGTTTCTAAATTCCTTTGGGTTCAATGTAATGCCTTCAATTGCATCAGTTCCCTGACATAACAAAATTCAAATAATATTAAACAAGTGAAGTTCAAAAATTCTTCAATGAAAATAATGAATGAAAAAGGAAGTTAAATTGCAGGATCTCTTACCATGCTATTTTTCAGTACATCTTGAATTTCATTTACATCATTCAATCGACTTCGTCTTTTAGGATGTTCTCTAGATTCCTCACGAACTAGATAACTAATTTGAGATTAAGAAAATTAGTTAACTCAGTTATTTATAACAAAATATGCTGATTTTTCTAAATTATTCCATTTAATCACGTGCGTTAGAATCACCTTTTGACGGAAACCCTCACAATTAATAGAGATATTTTAGAGAAAACATTATAAATTTGAGAGATAATGGATTGAGGTGCTATATGTAAGACCAAATCCAATCCCCTAACTGGCTTTTATATTTAGGACCGGAGGTAGTAAAAATTAAAATAAAAATCAAATAAATATTTGATTTGTTGACTTGATTGTCTTATATAGTCAAGAGTTTTTTTCTTTTTTAATTTATGATATTAGTGTTGTAGGAGGATGTTGCTTTTGACGATTTGGGCACATGAAAGATTCTTTCACGCCCATCACAATTTTTTTCCAAAATCATCATGCTTTTAATTTGTCTCTTTTGCGCAATATTTTAGTATGATTTTTAATGTTGCTTTTATATCTGCAAACACGTCAAAATTTGGGATGCTCTTTGTAATGATTTTATTATGTGTCCATCAATTGTTCAAAAATTATCACACAATTAATTTAATTTCTCAATTATTTCGTTATAAATTTGAGCAAAATAATGCATTTAACTTGGCTTCTAATGACAAGGGTTAAGCAAACAACGATAATAATACGAAGTTTCTTTCATTGCTCAATGTCATGTTTTTCATTTCGGCTTTCTCAAAGCCTAAGAAGGACTTGAGGAAATGACATATGAAAAATAATGATGATAAACATATGAAAACATTTTTTTGGAAGAATAATGTCAGTTCAGTACTAGCTTCATTGACTTTCCTTGATCTCTATATATAAATACACCACTCTTTGATTTGGAATGTTAAATTACCTGAGGAAACCAATGAGGTTTGTTGGTTCAATTTACTGAAAGAACAGAGACTTGATTCAATCATCTTGTAATAAGGAATTCATTACCCTGCTCTGAGATCCCACAAACAGATTTGATGGTTTTCTCACCTGTTTGTGGTGATTAAAAAAAAAAAACATGAAGACTGCCTCTGAATAAATATAACAGCCGGTTTGGCAAAAATTTCTGAGTAAAAAAAAAAAATCAGTTGACTTTCTCAAGTCAGCAAACGAAAGCACGAAAGCTAAAGATAAACATAACCACCAAGTTTCTCGTATTATCGAAGTGGCTCACAATCACGTATTATTCTTGTCATTCCCACACTGTATTCCCACACTGTAATAGTTTCCACGTGTGGTATTGCAGAGAAACCAGAACCAAATGACCAGGAAAAAGACAAGAAACAACACCTTAATTAACAACTCAAATGATTTAGACCTTTTCACTTGATGACCAACTGGAAAAATGGAGCCATGGAGGTGATGATTGTTGATTACATTCATGTCACACGCCTCCACCCACCAAGACCAGTCGATGATGAAAAACAGGCTTGACATGCTTTGTTCATAATTGGATTGGCCTGCAAAAACCAATATTATACAATATGCAAAGTTGAACAGGTGAAATACATAATATATGGCATCTATATATTTTTTTTATTCTGAATTTCATTCTGTACAAGGCTTGTCTCTAATTCCAAAATGTGCATGAATGAATGCAATTCAGATTTACTTGAAATTGTTAACATTACTCGCTTCGTTCGTTATTATAAGGAACAACTACAAAAGTCATGCAGTTCAAAATGTTAGTTAAATTTAGTTGAAAATAATAAATGGGTAGAAAAATTTGTAATTATATCCCCATTTTTAAAGATAGTACATGAGAAATTATGGGTGAAATTTTATTATAGAAAGATAATTAGTGGCATGTATTTAATGGGGATAAAAGTAAAAAGACAAATTTAAAAGAAGATTTGTTTCTCATATTTAGGAATATCACTATAAGAGAAATTATTTCTTATAAAAAAGGGGACAGAGGGAGTAGTAAAGAGCAGAGCAAAAAATCACATGGGCCTTAGAAATTGAGCGGCTAATGAAGAAAACCAAAATACTAACTGTTATGCAATGTTAGTATCCCCATGTATACACAATGTTTGCTACCAGTCAAGCCATGGCATCAACTTCTTGGTAAGAAACCAGAATTTGGAGAGCAGGGGACTAAGGCATACTGAAGGAATTAAAAATCAATTAATCCATTATCTCTACAAATTTTGGTTCATGTGCCTGTGGATAGAAATTATAGATAGTCGCATATATATATATGTAGTAGCTTAGTTTGGAGATTTTTCTAATGTTTATTTATTATTTTAACGGATGCTGGGCATGAGACCCAAAGACCAGTCACATTGAGAATAAAGAATTCTTTTCATACATAGTTGGAGGCTACAAAGAATTAAAAAAATTGTTGGACCTGGAATTGCATCGTCAAGCGATTCTTTTGTTATCCTTTGGGGCCATGCGCTCATTTCAGCCTCTCTTGGTTCTCAAAGAGTAAAGCATTGTGGTCAAGTTCCTTGTCCTTTGGAGCACACGAGTGCTTCTTCTAACGGAATCACGTGCTGGCTGATGTTGGGACACTTCAGCATTAGGGTGCTGCCAGGTATTGGCTGTAGCAGCATTCGTCTCCAGTCTTAATTCCATTTTCTCCTGTATTTCTGATGCATATATTGGCCAAATTCCGCACCCTTTTATCCCGCGATCATATCCAAGCAAACTATGAGGGGAATCTCCAATGGCGAATTCACATGTAAACTTGCGAGTGGCACCCTCATCAAATCGCCTTCTTTGGTTTTCCTTCAGCATGCGATCCCCTGGATTATACCATAAAAAAATATGATCTATCCTTGGATCCTCAAGGTACATGAGTTTGTCGTCACCCCTGTAATAGATCATTTCATCCTCAAAGTGGAATTTTCTGTCAACTTGTTGGTGAAAGTCGAATTTCCATCCTGAAAAAATACAACAAGAAGCGAAACCCAATAAATGGTCAGAAGAAGCTGGTGCAAGCTCAATAGTAATGGACCTCTTAGCGGTCTGAGAATGTTTGAAGCCCTTTGGGATTATGCTTCCGGGATAACAAACTCTAACCTCACTAGAGTTATGTATTGCTCGCATCAGTGGGAAACCAAAGGTCTCTAGTGATTGGCAGTCGTGGAGATAACAGTCAGCAAGGGAAGGTGGAAGTTCTGGTAAGGACCTAAGCCTCTTGCATTGACGCAAATCAATTTCTCTGAGCTCTGAAAGATGCTTGATGCTATTTGGCAAACTCTTAACACTGCTTTCTCGTAGTGATAGAATCTTCAACAATGACATGGCACTGATATTGTCAGGGATCTCACAAATCATGCAGTACGTCAAATACAGTTCTTCTAAAGAACGCCACGCATCAAACAAAATGACTAATTCTGATTTGTCTATTTTGCCTTTAAAACCACCAAGAGAGAATACTTTAAGAGATGTCAAGCTACTTAGCTCTTTTACTTGAAAGCTCCTGAGAAGTCCACTGAGATATAGCTCTTCAAGTTTATTAAACCGTCCAACTGGCAAGTTTAATGTTTTGATACTTGTACAATTCAAATGTAAACTTCTCATTTCTTCTGATGATAACAAAAATTCCTCGAGAGCAGGGCACAATGCTAGCTTGAGTTCCTTGAGAGGTTTCAAATGGTTATCCCCATGAAGATTCTTTAGTTCAATGCACCCCTCTAGATTCAAAGAAACAAGTTTAGGAAGAGACAAGATTGATGGATGAATACTACATAAACTTCTACAATAACTGAGGTCCATTATTTCAAGATTTTGTGCCATGGAGAAATCAGGCAACTCCCTTAACTCCCGCGAACAAGCAAGATTTAGTATCTTCAAATTCATACAATCCTGTGAAAGAGAAAAGTTAGAGAAAAAGGCCCTCAAAATTCAATTAGACTAAAGAATGAAACATGCATTAATATATAGCCATACCTGCACACCATCCCATAGTTTTACAACTTTGCTACAAGGCATTTGGATTTCAACAAGTTTGTCTGCACAAAAACCTTGCGGTAGAGTCTCCAATGGATAATCTTTCCAACAAAAATATCTTAGTTTATTAGGAAGTGACTCCAAACCAAAAGGAAAAAGCACTTTATATTTGCCTCCAAAATTAGGACCAATCTTGAGAAATGTTAAATTACTCATTCTTCTAAAAGCGTCAGCACTCAAGTGTATGTCACTTTTTAACTCATGTGGGTTCAATGCAATGCCTTCAATTATATCAGTTCCCTAAAACATAACAAAATACAAATAATATATTAAACAAGTGGCATGTAAAGATTCTTCAATGAAATAATTTAATGAATGAAAAAGGAAGTTAAAGCATCCTTCATATACCTTGTTATTTTCCAGTATATCTTGAACTTCTTTTGCATCATTTAATCGACTTCGACTTTCAGGGTGCTCTCTAGATTCCTCACGAACTATTTCTTCAGCCATTTCTTGTAGCATATCATGAATTTCTACTCTACTATCACTTGAAATAGTTATAAGTGCTTTATCTAGAAGCCTATCTATTCCAATATCCATGTAGAGGTCATCATCACAAGCATCTAGCACCTTCATGATATCTTCTTTCTTTCCTCCCCTGAAGAAGAATGCAATATTTAAAAATATCTCCTTTTCTAGTGTATCAAGTCCATCATAGCTCACCCTCAATGCAGCTTGAATTTCCCTATTTGGATTCTTTCTCAATTTTTTAAGGGCACTCTCCCATGCTTTTGTATTTCTAGAGCTCAAATATGAACCCAAAACTTTTAATGCCAGAGGAAGACCTTTTGCATATTCAATTACCTGCATTGATAACTTTTCATATCCTTGTTTGGGATGGCATTGCTTAAAAGCATGTCGGCAGAAAAGTTGAAGCGATTCTTCCTTGCTTAATTCCTTCACCTCATGTACTTCATGAACTCCTCCACTAAGAAGAACATGCCTGTCTCTACTTGTTATGATGACTTTGCTGCTTGGTCCCAATGAAAGATTTTCGTCAACAAGATATTGTAATTGACTGGGAGTGTCTACATCATCAAGCACTAGAAGAACTCTTGTTTGACGTAGCCTCCTTTGAATATTAGGCATTCCAACTATTGTGAGGTTTTCTTCATTTAGTAGAACAATGAGAATTTTTTCAAGTAAACAAGTCAATCCAATCTTTTTTGATTCCTCTCTGATATTTTCTGCAAAGCAAGAACTATCAAATTGGTGGGAAAACTTATCAAATGTGGCACGAGCCAAGGCTGTTTTACCTACCCCTCCCTTACCCCAAATTCCCAGAACTCCAACTTTTTGTGAGTCATCTTTCATAAATGATTCAATAGTAGCCAAATTTTCTTCAATTCCAATAAGACGCTTTGGCTCAATTGTGTCTTTACCTTCTAGCTTTTTTGATACATCTTTGATTATTCCATCAATAAGATCGGATTCATTTCTGCCAAGATAAAAGAAAAAATTGGTTTTTTTAAAAAAATCACACAGCACATTTTTAAGAATAATGTAATACAAGCCTCGATGTAAGTATCAATATTATATGTATGGATATAATCAATTTAAAATTTTTATGGGGAAAACATATAATTTGAAAACTATAACAATATTTATCTAATAAATAGAAATATGAAACAGCTTACTGAAAATTTGAGGAATGATGATAACCAGACAAGTTTGCAGTTTCTTTTAAGACAGATCTCCAAACTTGCAACAAGTCATCTTTGAATTTCTGCTTATGGTGAGCAAATGCATTTGCATAGGATTCTTCTTGATGCCTAACGTGTGATGGCTCCACATTATAGAAAATTGGAATTACAATCTGATTATTGGCTCGCTTGCATTCCATGATTTTCTCTAGCTCTTCTAAGCACCATCTTGAAGAAGCATAGTCTTTTGAGAATATCACCAGCGCAATTCTTGATCTTTCTATTGCTTTCAAAAGTGCAGATGATATTTCATCTCCTCTTTCTAACCTCTCATCCTCATACACACCTATGCTCTTTAGTCGTAACAGCTTTGTCAAATGGCTAAGAAATCCACGTCTGATGTCTGAACCTCTAAAACTAACAAAAACATCATATTTTTCCTGCTGAACTTTGGAAGAAGTCGTAAAAGTTGCCATTACTGGACATAAACAAAAACCATAGGGTGTTAATTATTCCTAATAAACTTGATGCTAGTCTCTCCCCTCAAGTTTCCGTTTATAACATTCTAATAAACATATAACTGTTTAAATATTATATGTCCACTCCCGTGTGAGTTTAATTTGTATCTAGCATGGCGATGGCAAAAAAGAAAAGAAAAGTAACTAGCATGGGTGGCTTGAATATAATTAAAGCTGGTTTCACATCTAGAACATAATAAAGTGGGAAAAAACCATCAGCAGGTGCCAAAAACCATTGTCAACGCCAGAAGAACAGGATAGCTCATTTACAATTGTAATTCAGACTAATAAACAGGAGATAAATTAAATAAAGGTTAGCAGCTGGGTGGAGAAAAGTTCTCCTCTAACAAAAAATAGTTGAGCATCTCAGAAGTACCAATACTACTAATTACAATATGAAATGAGTTGAAGGGCTCATTAGCTTAAACAAGTGATGGATCAGACTTCAATGAACAAAATCTAAAATCCAGATATGAGCGTTCAGGCGTCATTGAACAGGCCAAAATGTGAAGCGAAAGAATCAAATGAAATCTCTGTTCTTCCTGGAAGAATAGAGATTATTAACGCAGAGGGAAGAAATTTTTTGGTGAGTAGAATATATCAGAGAGCGTTATAAAAGCAGAGAAATAAAATATAAATTATAGTATTTTATAAGATTAATTGTGTAATAAAAAAAAATTATAGGAGAGATGTTCAGAATATATGTGATTGAGATTCACTATCTCACAGAAACTTGTATTTAAGATTTAACATAATATTGATCCTGCTTCATCCTAAAATTCGAACAAGTGGAAATGAAAGATGGTGAAACGGAGCAAGCACACAACCATATATATGGAACTCATTAGGAACATTATGGCTTTTCCTGATCCGTATGTACTTATGCATGAACAGTTCTAAGATATACATTTTACAGAGACGATGAAGAAGATCATCGTACCTGGATAGATCAAACCTTATCTCTGGCAAACTAAGAGCAAAAGTGATGTCTGGGTAGACAGCAATGCAGTTTTATGCGAAGAACAAGGTATCTGGGAAAACTTCCTTATCAATACGAGGAGTTTTCGTTATTAGAAAGAAAATTCAATAATTTAAGATCGCTAATTATTTTAAGCGTTTCCTCCATTCGCCATGCCCCAAAAGAAAATAGGGAAAAAGACACAAAAATGCACCTCCAACTCCAAAAGCCCAGAAACGTCCGCCCAATTCCACAAATCCCATTTTGGTACCATGAGACCAAATTGGGATTATTATGTGAAAGGAAAAGACCACATTGCCCTTCATTTTAAATATTATTTTTAAAATATCACAGCCCCTACAGGCCGGCCGGTCACCGGACCTCCGGCAGCGGCGGTCACCGGAGCTCCGGCGACCAGCCGACAATTGGTCACCGGAGCTCCGGCGGTCGGAATTTTTTTTTTTGAAAATTTTTACAACTTCAATATAACGGTTAACAACTTTTGTAATGCTATTCACAACTTCAGTATAGCAATTAACAACAGCTTTTCTGGAAAATTCAACAAACTCCGGCGACCGGAAACAATTATTTTGAAAATTTTTACAACTCTAATATAACCGTTAACAACTTTTGTAATGCCATTCACAACTTCAATATAGCAATTAACAACAGCTTTTCTGGGAAATTCAACAAACTCCGGCGACCGGAAATAATTTTTTTGAAAATTTTTACAACTTCAGTATAGCGGTTAACAACTTTTGTAACCCTATTAACAACTTCAGTATAGCGGTTAACAACAACAAACTCAAGCGACTGAAAACAATTTTTTTGAAAATTTTTACAACTTCAATATAACGGTTAACAACTTTTGTAAGCCTATGAACAACTTCAATATAGTGGTTAACAACAGGTTTTTGAGTTTGTTAAAGGCATTACTGAAGTTATAAAAAAGCCACTTTTTGAATTTTTCGAAAAACTTGTTGTTAACTGCTATATCAAAATTGTTAACCGTTATATTGGAGTTGTAAAAATTTTCAAAAAAACGTAATTGTTAACGTTATACTGAAGTTGAAAATTTTTACAACTCCAATATAACGGTTAACAACTTTTATAATGCTATTAACAACTTCAATATAGCAATTAACAACAAGTTTTCTAGGAAATTCAACAAACTCTGGCGACCGGAAATAATTTTTTTGAAAATTTTTACAACTTCAATATAGCGGTTAACAACTTTTGTAACCCTATTAACAACTTCAGTATAGCGGTTAACAACAGGTTTTTGAGTTTGTTAAAGGCATTACTGAAGTTATAAAAATGTCACTTTTTGAATTTAAAAACTTGTTGTTAACTGCTATATCAAAGTTGTTAACCGTTATATTGGAGTTGTAAAAATTTTCAAAAAAACGTAATTGTGAACGTTATACTGAAGTTGAAAATTTTTACAACTCCAATATAACTGTTAACAACTTTTGTAATGCCATTCACAACTTCAATATAGCAATTAACAACAGCTTTTCTGGGAAATTCAACAAACTCCGGCGACCGGAAACAATTTTTTTGAAAATTTTTACAACTTCAGTATAGCGGTTAACAACTTTTGTAACCCTATTAACAACTTCAGTATAGCGGTTAACAACAGGTTTTTTCAACCGCTATACTGAAGTTATTAACCGCTATACTGAAGTTGTTAATAGGATTACAAAAGTTGTTAACCGCTATACTGAAGTTGTAAAAATTTTCAAAAAAATTGTTTCCGGTCGCCGGAGTTTGTTGAATTTCCCAGAAAAGCTGTTGTTAATTGCTATATTGAAGTTGTGAATGGCATTACAAAAGTTGTTAACGGTTATATTGAAGTTGTAAAAATTTTCAAAAAAATTGTTTCCGGTCGCCGGAGTTTGTTGAATTTCCCAGAAAAGCTGTTGTTAATTGCTATATTGAAGTTGTGAATAGCATTACAAAAGTTGTTAACGGTTATATTGAAGTTGTAAAAATTTTCAAAATAATTGTTTCCGGTCGCCGGAGTTTGTTGAATTTCCCAGAAAAGCTGTTGTTAATTGCTATATTGAAGTTGTGAATGGCATTGCAAAAGTTGTTAACGGTTATATTGAAGTTGTAAAAATTTTCAAAAAAATTGTTTCCGGTGCCGGAGTTTGTTGAATTTCCCAGAAAAGCTGTTGTTAATTGCTATATTGAAGTTGTGAATAGCATTACAAAAGTTGTTAACGGTTATATTAGAGTTGTAAAAATTTTCAAAATAATTGTTTCCGGTCGCCGGAGTTTGTTGAATTTTCCAGAAAAGCTGTTGTTAATTGCTATACTGAAGTTGTGAATAGCATTACAAAAGTTGTTAACCGTTATATTGAAGTTGTAAAAATTTTCAAAAAAAAAATTCCGACCGCCGGAGCTCCGGTGACCAATTGTCGGCTGGTCGCCGGAGCTCCGGTGACCGCCGCTGCCGGAGGTCCGGTGACCGGCCGGCCTGTAGGGGCTGTGATATTTTAAAAATAATATTTAAAATGAAGGGCAATGTGGTCTTTTCCTTTCACATAATAATCCCAATTTGGTCTCATGGTACCAAAATGGGATTTGTGGAATTGGGCGGACGTTTCTGGGCTTTTGGAGTTGGAGGTGCATTTTTGTGTCTTTTTCCCAAGAAAATAAAAATCAAATAAACATTTGATTTGTTGACTTGATTGCTTTATAGTCAAATGTTATCTTCTTTTTTTTTTTTTTTTACCGGAATAGTCAAATGTCGTCTTCTCAAACAACAAGCGTGTAATTTAAATTAGCTAGTAGTCCAGAGACTTTATGTTCGTATCCAAATCTGGGCCATATCAAATGTCGGCACTCGGTACCTGTGACTTGATGCAAATTAAAAATAACTGACCATTTTTTTTATCAAGTTTAAAAGATTCCTTTTGTTTATGTAAAATAATTAAAACTACTCCGTCCATCCTGTATTGTTATGAAAAATTAATAGATTTTTTTAGCGCTGTCTCATAATCAAAATCACGATTCTCTATACGCATTTAAATCAACCTTCCTTAATTGCCCCGATTATTAGGATTATGTGGCATAACACTTGTGTTGCAAAAATTTATTACTTTGATCATATATAGGTGAAATGCAATTTACTGATAATCATCTTCTTCTCGCATATTCTGTCCGAGACTGATATTGCATTGGGTTATCTAAGTTGCCTCAACATTATCCTTGAATCACATGCAAGAAAGAATTTGTTCAATAATGTCCTCATTTGTTCAAAGTTCAGTGACAGGTTGGAAAATGACATCTATTCAATAAATATTTCAATCTTTTTCCAGTCATTCTTTCTATATAACTAATGTTTTATTAATTGGTTATTCCCTGGACGGCATTATATGAACTAAACACACACATATTTGATATAGAGACGGGGGCGGCATTCTTTTATGTGTTGACAGGAAACAGCACCTACTTTACATAAAGACCACTAAGGAAGAACAAGAACGCTCATTTCGGAGGAAAAATGACATCCCTTTAACTTTTAAAAGTTGATAATATTAATTAAAAATAACTTTTCAGAGAGGATGGTCTGCTTCTTATCACAATTTGAATACATAAAAATGCTTTCCCTGTTTCACACTCACTATCAAAAAATAATTAAAAAAATTAAATAGTTCAGTAGTTTATGATATTGGTGTTGGAGGATGATGGTGTTTCCACCATTAGTTTGGGCATATACATTAAAGATGCTTTCACACCCACCACTTCAGTCTCTCTGTTTTGGGCAATAGTTTAGTAGGATTCATTATAATTTTCCGGGATAAGATCCAATTTTGTGCTGAAAGTTGTTGCTTAGGAGTTGTGAGAAGTTTTTTTAAGCTCAATATCACCATGAAAGTATTAAAAATGTAGCAATGTTGCTCCAACCATTTAAAATGTTATGTTTGACCATTAAATCATCATGTTTAACTCCATAATATCCATGTGGCATCTCTTCATATGACACAATAAA